GATGATGATGATGATGATGATGATGATGATGATGATGATGATGATGATGATGATGATGATGATGATGATGATGATGATGATGATGATGATGATGATGATGATGATGATGATGAGGCGGAGGAGGAGGAAGAGGAGGAGGAGGAGGAAGAGGAGGAGGACGGCAGGAACAGAGCAGGTGGGAGGAGGAGGAGGAGGAGGAGGAGAAGGATGAGGAGGAGGAGGAGGAGGAGGAGCATGAGGAGGAAGAGGAGGAGGAGGAGGAGGAGCACGAGGATGTGGTGGAGCAGCAGGAGGAGGAGGTGGATAACGAAGAGGAGGAGAGGATGTAGTGGAGGAGGAGGAGGAGGAGGTAGTGGATGGGGGTAGTGGTGGGGGAGGAGGAGGAGGAGGAGGAGGAGGAGGAGGAGGAGGAGAAGGAGGAGGACCAGTGTAGCCCCAGGAGACATCAACGATGTTGGAACAAACCCTCCCTCCAAGCTCCCTCGTCGTAGGCCCCTGCAACGGTTTATTTCCATTGAGGGAACTGCCTCGTTGGAAGTCAACCGCTTGAAGACCCTGAAGCATGCCAAAACATTGTTCTCGAGATTCCAACGCCACGGATCAACCTAACTGCTGCGTCTTGACGACCCTGGAACGCGCCAGAACGCCACTCCTGGGATTTCAACAGAGCGAATTACGCAACTGTTGTGCCCGCATAATCCTGAATTCTTTCAAAGCGGTTCTGGTACGTTGATGATGTGAACCCGTGAATTTCGTGCAAACTTTGCAAACGAATGTGCGCGGCGATAGTGCAAGAGCCACATTTTGAAAAGCAACCGCCCTCAATCCGTGAAGCTCTTGCACTTGTCAAACGAATGTGCGCCGCGCTAAGGCGAGAGCCACATTCTAAAAACCACCCGCCCTCAATCCGTGCTTTTGTTGTTTTGTTTTGTTTTGTTTTGTTTTGTTTTGTTTTGTTTTGCTTTCCCCTCTAACATCCGGACAACGAATGTGCGCCGCGCTAAGGCGAGAGCCACTTTTTTGAAAACCACCCGCCCTCTATCCGTGAAGCTCTTATCGATTTTTCAAAAGCGAATATGCGCCGCGCCAAGGCGTTTTGAAAACGGCCCGCCCTCCATCTGTGATCTTGTTGCCATTTTTAAGCATCAGAGTCAGAACTGGTGGGGAAGTCTCAGGCGAAACGCCCGACCCGCCCTAAAAACTGGCCTCGGGGTGCGACAAGGAGAAGTTGTTCATAAGGAAAAGGAATGGAGTAGGAGAAGGGGGAGGAGGAGGAGGAGGAGGAGGAGGAGGAGGAGGAGGAGGAGGAGGAGGCGGAAGAAGAGGAGGAGGAGGAGGAGGAGGTGTCTCGGCGTGCAGTCCTCTGTGCTGCCCGCCAGCAGGGGCTGCCCCTCGGGCCCGAGGAGGTCCTCTTCGGCTGCGCTGCGTGCGCGGCGCTGGCGCTGGCCGCGGTGCAGGCGCGGCGGTGCCTGGAGGTCGGAGGAGGAAAGGGTACCCATACCCCGACGTCGCCGATGCATTGCCGATGCATCGCCGATCGTGTGCCATCCTCCAGCCCCATCTGCTCGGGTCCTACCGCGGCGCGGCGTGTCGCCGGACCGAGGCGGGCCCTCCCCCTCCTGAGGGTCCTCTCGCCCTTTCGCCCTGCAGATCCAGGGGCGTCGCAGAAAAGTTTGCGCACGGCTGGGTTTTCTAGGTTTTTTCCATAGGAGCACAAGGTACCGATGCCGCCGCCCTTGCTTTGTTGTCACCTTTGTGGGCTTCCTCGGAGGTCCTCGTCGACACGGCTGGAGTCGCCTCGACCTCAGGTCTGATCGCACCCGGGGAGAGGTCCGGGTACCGGTATCATTGGTAATCTTCTGCTCTCCCTGGAAGGAGCACGGGTGCCCGGCCGACGAGGGCGAGCTCGAACGCCTCCTGTGACGGGCTGGCCCGCCTGAGTCAAAAAGGGTGGTCAAGTTCGTTTAATGTATCCCCATCCCCACTGTGCCATCGTATGTCAGCCCCACCAGCCCAACCTTCTATGTGCGAATAGGCCCCGCGAAACCCGAAGGAACAGGCGTAGATCCCCACCTAGGTGGGCAAGCTGGCCAGGGGGGCCGAGGCCGCGCCAGTGGGGACAGGGATCGCTTAAACGATGCTCAGGTGCCAGGCCGACGAGGGCGGGCCCGCACGGCTCCTGCGACGTGCTGGCCCGCCCGAGTAGAAAAAGGGGGGCGCCCGCCATCGAAGCGCTGGCCGACCAGACCGACGGCGGCGGCGGCGGCGGCGGCGGCAAGCGGAAAGATGACGACGGCGGCGGAGATGCTCGTGTCGGGCCGAGGGAGGGAATTGCGAACGGGGGGGTGGTGGTGGTGCGAAATCTGCTGCGTGCAGCTGATGCCGTTCCCGCGACCGGGCGCCTTCCTCGACGCATTTGGCTCCTCTGCTCCGGCGCCGGGAGGCGCCAGCAAGAGCAGCAGCGCGAGCGGTTGGGGCGGGCTCGGCCTTTGACCCGAGACTTCTCCACCGCTCGCGATCCTGAAGCTGGACGGGCGGGTCGTGTTCAAGAAGAGGCTGTCGCCCTGGCGCTGCGCCCACGCGTTGCTGGTAGCAGGAATTCTCCAGCGCGTGCACGGGTGGAGGGCACCTGGTTTTGCAGCACGGAGCCGTCGCCTTGGCGCCACGCGCATTCGCCAAATTGGCCAGTTTCACGGATGGAGGGCTTTTTTTGTTGTTTTTTGTTTTTTGTTTTTTGTGTGTTCTATGTACACATAAATGATGAAATCACATGTAAATTATATTATCACAATGTTTCTCCAGCCTTGCGGAGGGGTTTCCGTTTAGAGGGGTCTGGGGGGTACCCCCCGGAACATGGCCCCGGCCACGCGACGAATGCCAGCAGAAGTCTGGCGGAAGACGGCGGAAGACGGTTTTCGGTCGAACAAGCGACCCCAAGATGGTCCGCAAGATGGGCCAAGCGGGCAACGAGCCGCCGACTGATCGGTCCGGACGGCCCAGGGAGTCCCCAAGACGGCCTGGAAGGCCTCCAAGAGGCTCCCCAAGAGAGCCCCAAGCGACGGCTCAAGAGGCCTCCAAGACGGCCTCCGAAGGCCCCAGGAACGCTCCAAGATGACCACTAGAGGAGGGGCGGGGACCTACATTTCGGGTTTTCGGCCCCGAGAGGCCCCAGCCGATTCCGAAAGGACCCCAGGAGGCCCCCAGGATCGCGTCCAGACGGCCCAGGGAGCTCCCAGGACGCCTCGGGAGGCCTCCGTCAGGTCCTCCACGAGAGCCCCAAGTGTCAAAATTCATTGGTTTCCGATGGTTTTCCAAGGTTTTTCGAGTTCCCGCGTTCTCGGCTTCCCGACGCTCCAAGACAGCCCAAGAGGTCCCAAAGATCGCCCCAAGACGGCCTACGAGGTCCCCAAGAAAGAGAGCGCCCAGACATTCCAAGACGCCCTCAAGACGGCCCAAGAGGCGTCCAAGACGGCCTCCGAAGGCCCCAGGAACGCCCCGTTCTGATCTCGAGAAGGGGGGGCATGGACCGACATCCTAGGCTCTCCGCTTGTAAAACCCTCCTACGGCCCAGGGACCTCCCAGGACGCCTCGGGAGGCTTCTGAGAGGCCTTCCAAGAGGGCCCCAAGTGTCAAAAATCATGGGTTCTTGTTAGGTTTCGAAGGTTTTTCGGGTTCTTGCGTTTTCGGTTTCCCGACGCTCCAAGACAGCCCAAGAGGTCCCAAAGATCGCCCCAAGACGGCCTACGAGGTCCCCAAGAGAGCGCCCAGACATTCCAAGACGCCCTCAAGACGGCCCAAGAGGCGTCCAAGACGGCCTCCGAAGGCCCCAGGAACGCCCCGTTCTGATCTCGAGAAGGGGGGGCAGGGACCGACATCTTAGGCTTTTCGCTTACAAAACCCCTTAGGAGGCCCCACGAGGCCCCCTGGAGGACCCCAAGAGGTTTCCAAGAGGCCCCAGGATCCCTGGAAGAGGCCTTCGGGAAGCCCCCACTGGCCCCCAAGGGGGGCCCCAAGACTGCCCAAGAAGGCCCAAGGATAGGTGGAGACGCACCCACAAAGCGTGACACCGCCAAACGGGCAACGCGGGAACCAGCGCCAGGCGCCCACTAGGCACGCTTTTCTTTGCTGTTCGCTTGCTCTCGAGTCGCGCTCCCTTGCCCAAGAGGGCTCCAGGATTGCCACACATTCTTCATAACGTGAAAACGGGGAACACGGGAACCAACACAATGAGCCTCATAGGCATCATTTTCTCTGCTGTTCTCTTTCTCGCACGTCACGGCCACTGCCCCCCCCCGGTGGCTCGCAAAGCAGGGCCCGAACATTGCCCCACAGGGCTCCAAGATGGTCGTAGACGCCCCGACGAAGTGGCACATCATCAAACGGACACCACGGGAACCTTCATACTTACCTTCAAATGCGGCACAGCGTCACACGGACAACACGCGAATCAGCATTATGCGCCTTGTAGGCGTCCTCTTCTTTTTTATCTTCCTCGCAAGTCACGCCCGCTTGTCCTCCAAGGTCGGGGTTCGTGGCGATATCAGGTTTATAGTTCGTCTTCGGTTGTTATGCTTTTATATGGTAAAAATCAATGCGTGGCTGTTTTCCCATACGTCCTACACGTCTTTCACCCCAGTTGCAACAGTGTGCAGGAATTCACAAATACAGGGTGGCTCCTTTCCTACGTGGGCTCTCCCCTGAGGCCCTCGTTTTATTATCTCATGGTCAGGCGTTGGCAGTTGTGCAGCAGTTGCACGGAAGGAGCGCGGCTCCTTGTCAAAGCGGGGCTGGCATTGGGCACTTCCTTGAACCCCTCCTCCTCATCTTTCTCCTCCTCCTTCTCCTCCACCTTGTCGCATTCATTCTTATCTTGGAGGATGGAGGCCAGTTTTTCCCCAAACAGGAGCAATTTCGCGCCTGACAGTCGCGGGGTGGGGTCCACCAGGTGGCGCTCGTCTTTCGAGGGTGGGTGGGTGCTTCTTCGCGCAGTGACATATATGTATATATACATATACAGACGTATAGGTGTCTCCCTCTCTCTCTCTCTCTATATATATATATATATCGAGAGAGAGAGAGAGAGAGAGAGAGTGAGAGAGAGAGAGAGAGAGTGAGAGAGAGAGAGAGAAAAAACAAGAGAAAGCATGCGTCCAGGGAGTAATTGCAGAGGAGCGGGCTCAGGACAGGAGGGAGGATGAGGAGGAGGAGGAGAAGGAGGAGGAGGAGGCGGAGGAGGAGGAGGAGGAGGAGGAGGCGGAAGAGGAGGAGGAGGAGGAGGAGGAGGAGGAGGAGGAGGAGGAGGAGGAGGAGGAGGAGCAGGGGTGTGTAGTGCAGCGTGGTGAACACGTCTGGGGTGTCTTCAGACTCCCCTCTTTCCCATCTTCCCCGCCCCCGCCCCCCCCTCCCTGCCCCAGACCGCTCCCGCCTTCTCCGAACTCCTGCGCCCTCTGCTTCTTTCCTTGTCGCCCTCCCCCGCCTCCACCCTTCACAGCTACACAATATGAAGACTACTCTCCTCTCTCCCCTGACCCTGTCTGGAAGATGGTCGGCCCCGCTCCGTGTATTATTCTTTCTGCGCGCAGGATTCGGGCGAGTTCGTCTTTCATATGTGTTTTTGTACATCCGTTTCTTTCCAGTCCTTCAGAATGTTGCTCCCACTACAGCACTGCCATCATTTTCGGGCTTCCGCTCGTTCCGAATCGTGCTCCAGCTGCAGCGCTGGCCTCATTTCCGCGCTTCCGCTCGTTCCGAATCGTGCTCCCGCTGCAGCGCTGGCCTCGTTTCCGCGCTTCTGCTCTTTCCGAATCGTGCTCCCGCTGCAGCGCTGGCCTCATTTCCAGTGCCATGCCATAGCATGCAATGCAATGCTACGGTGTGTTCCGCAGTGCGCTGCCATGCCTTCAGCTGCAATGCTATGATATGCAGTGCTGGCAGTGCCACGCCATGCTGTGTCATGCTTGGCGTTGATCTACAACGCCATGTCATGCCATGTAATGCCATGCTATGCTACGACATCCGACTGCGCGAACAGAGAGGAGAGGAGAGGGGACCTACGCCATGGAACGGGGGGGGGAGAGGGAGGGGCAGGACGTCAGACTCAGACGCCTGCGCGCCCAGCTTCTCCCCGCCCCCCTCTTCTCTCCTTCCCCCCTCCTCGCCTGCCCCCCCCCCCTCTCCCCCTGCCCCCTCTCGTCTCTCGTCCCCTCTCCCCCGCCCCTGCCCCCTTTCCGCCTCTCGCCCCCCTCCGCGCAGCGACCCTGCGGGAGCCCGCCGCCCGGCCTCTCCGCAGCATCTCGCGAGGCGCCCGCTCTGCGACCCAGAGCCCCCCCCCCCAGACCCCTCGCGCGGGCAGCCAGAGCCGCGCTGGATGGTCGAGACTCGGTCCGCTTTCTCCTGCCCCCCCCCCGCCTCCTCCTCGAAGGCTCGAAGGAGGCGGAGGAGGAGGAGGAGGAGGAGGAGGAGGAGAGGAGGAGGAGGAGGAGGAGGAGGATGGAGGAGAGGAGGAGGAGGGGAGGGGAGGAGGAGGAGGAGGAGGAGGAGGGGAGGAGGAGGAGAAGGAGAGGAGGAGAGAGGAGGAGGAGGAGGAGGAGGAGGAGGAGGAGGCAGGAGAGGAGGCGGGGAAGGGGGAGGGGAACCCGGGGGGAGGGGGGAGGGGGCAGGCGGCAGGGGGAGTGGGAGTGGGTGAGGGAGGTGGAGGGGGGGAAGAGGAGGAGGGAGGGGGGAGGGGGTCGGAGGAAAGGGCTGTGTGTGTGTGCGTGGGGGGAAAAAAAAGCCCAATGGCAACTACTTCGGTCCGTTCCGGAGCTAGCTGGCCCCGATTGCAACCACCCAGTTGGGTCGGACTGCAACCTATATTTTAAGCAGGCAATTTACTGAGCGAAGACGCCTACGGCGAATCACCGTCGCCCCCTGCCTTTTGGAATCGCCTATGTGGTCGAACGTTATGGCAAGAGCTCGTCCAAGCTATTGGATCATGTGTTCCCGTTGCCGTTTTGGAATCACTTCGGGGAACACGTAAGGGAGAGACGAAGAGGAGGAGGAGGAGGAGAGATCTCTTCGGACTTTCTTGGATATTCTCTTGGAGGCCTCTGGGGGGCCTCTCGGGCCGTCTTGGGCTTTCTCAGGGCCCTCTTGGGTCGTCCTAGATGCATCTTGGGCCGTCTTGGAGACATCTTGAAACCATGTTCGGTTCTCTTTGGGCCATCGTAGCCATCTTGGAAACCATCTTGGCCGTCGTGGATGCCATCTTGGCGCCGTCTGGAGCGGCCACCACCAACAACAATCATTGTAGGACAGTTCACCTTACCGCCATCCCGTGTAGCCTCTCATGAACAGTACTGGAGGTACAAAACCTCAGGTTGCCCGCCCCCCGCTGGCACAGTTCCACCCCCAGCACGTTGTACCAGGCTCCGCGAGCCTAACGGGGCATCTCCGATCCACGCTGCGCCAGCCTTTCGAAAATTGGGCCATCTTTCATCACGGCACAGTAAGAGGATAGGGGGAGGATGAATGGAAGGGGGGCGAAGCCGGGGAGGCGGAGGAGGGACGAAGGAGGCCAGAGCAGAAGGTGAAGGGGAGGAGTAGAAGGAGCAGATGGAGGAGGAGGAGGAGGAGGAGGAGGAGGAGGAGGGAAGGGAAGGGAAGAGAAGGAATGGGAAGCAGCACCCCGCCCAAGCTACCAACCGCCCTCAGAACCCTTGGACTCCTCGCTCCTCTCCTTCCTCCTCCTCGCCCCCCTGCCCTCCTTGTCCTTCTTGCTCCTCCCCGCCTCCCTGCCTCCCTCCCCCCTCCCAGCCTCGGCTCGAGCACGTGGCGGGACTCCGCCTCCGCGCGCAGGGGCACAAGCCCCCCGAGGGAGACCTGCCCGACCTTTCCCTCTTGCGGACCTGGTGGCGCTGCCGACCTCTTATCACCGGCGGGTTGCCGACGGCTTCCCGCCCCCCCCTTCTTTCCCTGCCCGCCACGGACGTGCGTGTGGCCCCCGCTGCTGCGCCGCCCGCCTGGTCGCCGCCCCGCTGCGGCAGCCCCTCGCTGCTCCAGACGCCCAGCCCTCGCTGCGGGCGCCCTCCCGCCGCTGGCGCTGGCCCCACGGGCGCGGACCGCAGGCGGCGATGGACGAGGGACACCCTGGGGCCACGATCATGTTCGGCCGCATGTGCGAAAAAGGCGATGACGTACGGCAGGGCTCCGAGCAGGCCCACCAAACGCCGCCACCCAGCCCCACCCACCAAACACCGCCCCTAGAGATCGCAGGCCTGCAGACGCACTGGGCGAAGCGCAACCAGAGTTGACCCCCTCCTCCCTGGGCCCTCGGCCCTGGCACGGAGGTCTCAACCCTCAGAGCCACCGCCTCTTCGGCGTCCTGTGGCGGGCCGCCCTTGGCGAGCTTGTGGATGCCCCTCCCTCGGCCGTAGTGTTCTACGCGCCCCGCAGCACCTCACGCCACCTCGTTCCCTTCCTCGCCGGACTCCCCGCCCCCCTCGGGGGGCCAACGCCCCCCGGCCGCCGCGCCCAGCGCGCCCGCGGAGCTCCGAGGGCGACGGCGCCGCCGCCTCGCGCGGGGGCCCTGCTGCTGCCGCCGTCGCCGCAGCCCCCTCCGCGGCCGCCGCGGGGGGCTGCGCGCGTGCGTCCCCGCTGCTCCGCGCCCGCGCCCTCCCCTGACCTTCCAGAGAGCTATTTTTTAGCACGGGAGGCCTAAAAACTTACAAAACGAAACGAAACAGCCTAAACCAAGACATATAATAGCTCCGGGATAGGTTTTTAGGTCGCGTGCTATTTTTTAGCCCTCCTGGAAGGTCAGGGTCACCTCGCGCGCCGCCCAGCCCCGCGCCGCCCCGCCGCTCGACGCGGGGGGCGAGGGGCCCGCCCGTCCGCGCAGGCCCCCCCCCCTCCACGCGGCGGCCTCCGAGGGGGCGGCGAGAGCCCGACGACGGGCCGCGCGGGGGTGTGCGGAGAGAGTGGCTCCCCCGCCCTCCCCCTCCCCCCCCTGACTGCCAGAGCTCCAGCTCCAGCACCTGGCGCCGGCGGCCCGGGGTGGGCACGAGTCACGAGGATCGACCAGGGGAGCGGCTGCCGAATGGATTCGCCCCGGAATCGACTCTTCCCGTCGGACCTGCGAGAGGTAGGTAGAATGCCCCGTAGACCTCGGAGCACCCCACGCACACTTCTCCTCGCAGCCTCGACGGGACAACCACAAGGTCGCGGGCCACATCGCTTCTGCAGTCGACCCCTTCCTCGAGAGGGCGCGGCTGGCCCGGCTGCCGGCCGGGCGCGGGGGAGGCTGGCCGGTGGTGGCGCGAGCGGCGCGCGCGCCTTTTGGGGGGCGGCGGGGCTCCGGCGCGCGCCTGGGGGCGGTGCCGCCCCGTCCGCCTCTGCGCGCGGTGGGGCCTCGGCGTCGGGGCCCGCTGCGGGGCGGGGGCCGCGGCCGCGCGCCCGCGCTGTGCTCCCGCACGGCGCGATTCGAGCGCCGGGGCGGAGGCGCCCTCCTCCCGCGGCGCGGGTGCGCGTTGCTCCACGCGGCCGGCCCGCCCGGGCGCGCTGCTCCCCCGCCCTCCCGCCCTCGATGCAGGTTCTCCTGCGCCTCCTCCTCCCCCCCACCCCCCTGCCCGCGCACGCAGCGGGGCAGCGTCCCCCTCCCCCTCCCACTCCTCCCCCCCCCTCCTCCCCTCCCCCTCTTCCCTCTCTTCCCCTGCCCCTCTCCCCCTCCCTCTCCCCCGCTGCCCCTGCCCCTCCCTCTCTCCTTCTCACCCTTCCCCAAGGCGGGGGCGAGTGTCACTGTTCTCGTGGTTCAGGCGTCCGCGATTGTTCTTGCCGTCCACCTGTGCTGAGGTGGCAAGAGAGCACTGAGATGGCCCTTCAATTCAAGTTTCGCAAATTCGCAGGCCTCCGCCACATCCGCCGAGCCTTTGGGCTGTTTCGCATGTGCTTCGCACAGAAGCGGCAGAGCCTTCCAAAATGCTGGTGTGCGGACGTGTCCTTTGACCGCGGTCGGAGCGGACCCGACGTTCGCCGACGCAGACCATCTCACGACAGTTCACGTGAGCAGCAAATTTGGCCCGAGTCGACCAGGTGGTATGGTACGCGTGTTCCAGGGTCATGAAGACATCATGGATTGGTAGAGCGAAACGTCACCGAGAAGCGAAATACTGGATCGGGCCTGGGCAGGGAGCGGCGGCGTAAACTGTCAGGGCTGTTAAAAAGCACTGTTGTTCGCGTTGGACCCTTCCGCGTGGCCCTCTCCAGTGGGACTCTTGTGTGTGAGCCCCAATCGTCGCCTGGAGGGGCGGCAGGGCGGCGGAGGAGGAGGAGGAGGAGGGGGACGAGGAGGAGGAGGAGGAGGAGGAGGAGGAGGAGGAGGAGGAGGAGGAGGAGGAGGAGGAGGAGGAGGAACTCGTCCTGTGGGGCCCAGTTGCGCGCGCCCCTCTCGTGTGAAGCCTTATCGGAGGGTCCCATCGTGAGTGCGGGACCCCATCGTGTGGGACGCTCTCGTGCGAAAGGGGGCCCTCGGATGCAGAACCGTGTGCGATCGTGTCGCGTGGGCCCCTCTCGATTGTGCTGCTGCCTGGGGGCCGTCTGAAGGGCCTCCGAGGGCCCTCCTGGGGCGTTTCGGGGCGTTCTGGGGCGTTTCAGTGGCCTTCGTGGCGACCTCTCTGGAAATATCCTGCCAGTCTCATGGGCGGTCTTGCGGAGGCCCTCGTCGGCCGTCTCCGGGCTGTCTGGGGATCGTTTTGGGGTCGTCTTGGGAGCCTCTTGGAACGGTTTCGAAGCCGTCTTAAGGACCTCTTGGGCCGTCGTGGGCTCCTCGGGCGCCCCTCTTGGGGGCATCTTGGGCCCTCTTGGGCTGTCTTTGGCCATGCTTGAGGCGTGTCGGGCTCCTCCTTGGCCGTCTTGACTGCGCGTCGCCAGAGCCCCTCTTATGGTGCCTTGGGGCCCCCTCTTGGGCCGTCTTGGGGCCGCTTCTGGGCACATCGGCTCGTCTTCGGGCATCTTCGGGCCCCTTGTCCATCTGGAATCTGTTTCGCACGCAAAAGCCATACGAAACATATGAGGCGTTCCAGAAAGGGCCTTGCCTTCCAGGGTCGAATGAGTTGTCATCTCTTCCGCCGCGGAAGGCGGCGGACGGTCGGCGGAAGTAAGACGAGGCCGCTTCCGCCGGCGGAAGCCGGCGGAAGCTCGGCGGAAGGCGGCGGAGGTAAACTATATGTGCTCCCATGAGATGAAAACGTTTCTGGGTTCAGGGCTTCCGAACACGCCCATATCGTGACGGCTACACTCTTGGCCTCTTGGGGGCGCTCTTGGGGAGCCTTGTGGCAGCCTCGAATCGTCCTGGGGTAGTCTTGGAGCCTTTTTGGACAGATGCACGGGCGAAGGTTGACCATCTCACGCGACGGGGCCGCTTTGGCGGCTCTGGGGGCAGACCCGGAGCAGCCGGCCCCCCCAGCACCAGGCATGCCGCCCCCCCTCTGGGGACCGTTGCTGGGACCTCGCTCCGAATCGACCGGACCCTCCTCTTCCTCCTCCTCTTCCTCCTCCTCCTCCTCCTTCTCCTCCTCCTCATCCTCCTCCTCTTCCTCCTCCTCCTCCTCCTCCTCCTCCTCCTCCTCCTCATCGACCCTTGGGAAGGGTTCGGGGAGGGGACGTGATTTCACATGCCGAGGAACACCCAAGGGGTCGGCGAATTCTTCCACCGCCTCCTGGAGATCACTCGGGAGCTGTTCATCGGGAAGATGGCGGCGGTGGTCGTGGCTTGGGTTTTGAAGAACGCCGTGTTCGCAACCATAGTCATTGGTAAAGCTCACTTGCTTGGGAAGGATCCCGAGACGCTTTTCGAACCAGAATACGGTTCACAGCATGGCTTGGAGCTCCTATTCTATTCTTTCCTCACTTTCTTCTTACTGCTGCTGGTTTCATCGTTCCTCGCATACGTGGTATCGCATGGTGGCTGGTCAGGCTTTCTGGGCACATCTAGTTTGATTGATGAGGAAGGAGCCCTCGGACTCGCTCGTTCAGTGACAGGTGGATTGGTCGACGCCGCCGAATCAGCAGCTGTTTCAGCAGAGATGGCTAACTTCTACGCCGCTGGCCTGGTCTTCATCCCAGCGTGGGCATACAAGGACTTCGTCGATAGATCGCTGGAATACGTGACTGTATACTTCCATGAAATTGTCATCGAGACTGTGGAGAACGCCACTGGGAGTGTAGTCAATTCAACCGAAAATGTCGCAGAAGAAGTCGGTTTAGACACATTCATCAACACAGGCGTCAACGTCATCAGTGACGGGGTAAACACCATCTCGAACATGACTCGTAGAGGAGATGCAAACAATACCGTCATTGGCGAGGATGGCAATGAGACGAACGCAAGCGCGCCAGAGCTAGTGGTAAAGACTCAGGAAGCGGTAACAGAGATGCTCAACCCTAATACATGGTGGAATGTGTTCTGTTTCCTGTGCGCAACATGTGTGGCCGCAGTAATCCAGGTTGTCGCCCACACGGCTGTCGACAACCTGGAAGGCGGCCGCTGGGATTACCTGAAGCAGGTGAGCGTTCGATGAAACCGATAATGCGTTACCACTTCCCCTACCAGCCTTTTGCTACATGTGTTCTGGAACAGTAGTCGACCCCGATGTGGAGGAAGAGAAAGAGGTGGAGGGAACGAGCAGGGCTTGATGACGAGAATGAGAAGGAAAGGAGCCCGCGAAGCGGAGTATGATGGAGGAGCGGGATAGCATGAACAAGCAGGGGGGAGGACAAGGAGCAAGAGAAGGACCTGGAAGAGAAGGGCAGACAGGAGGAGAAGGAGTAACACGAGACGGGCGAAAACGAACACACGTTAGGAGTCGGGAGGCATGGGATGCCTCGCACGAGAAAGCATCGGCTGCCAAGGGCCAGAATCGCCGCCGCAGACGCCAGCAGCGGCGCCGAAGTCGAAAGCGCCGTCGCCTTCGCAGGCGTGCGACGAGGATGAAGAGGGGTGGCCGCGGAACTTGGCCGCCACCGCAGCGGCCGGCGGGCATCTGCACGCACTCCTCCGACTCTGCTCGTGCAAGCTGCGAGGCACGAGCTCGGACTGCCCGAGTACACATCTCGCCCACCTGGCTGGCCATCGGGCTCTGTAACAGACAACGTGTTGCGGAATGTGCGCCGCGCGTTGCGGAAAACAAGAAACAACACTTCTCCTCATGGAACCCACGGGGACCTCCTGCGACTCCACCACCAGCCTGGACTGGCAAACGTGGGTGCCAGACGCGAGGCCTGTCCCAAGAAGTCAAAGCCCACCGCATGGGTGACCACGACTTCGCAGTCATGTAGTACCAAAAGACCATTGCGGAGTGATCGCGCTCAAAGGCAGAGTCAGTCCTTGGGGATACATGCATACCAGCGTGGATTCCAAGTGGAGGTGTTGTAATGTTTTACCAATTCAGCAGGTTGTCTTGATGCGCTCGAGGTGTGGTTGCAAGCACGCAAGGGAGTGAATAAGCAACCGAGTAAGCAAGAACACGGAAGCAAGAAAGCAAGCAGGCAAGCAAGCAATCAAGCGTGCAGACAACCAAGCCACCGAGCAAGCAAGCAAGCAATCATGCAATCAAGCAAGCACGCAAGCACGCAAGCAGGTAAGCAAGCAGACAGGTAATCAAGGGAGCAATATTGGACATGAACAAGCTGACCAGCAATCAGGTAGGTGAGCAAGCGAGCAAGCAAGGAAACGAGCAAGCAAGCAAGCAGGCATCCAAGCAGTCAAGCAATCATGCAAGCCGCACAATCAAACAGGCAAGCAAGCAAACAAGCACGCAAGCAAGAACTTGATCAAGCAAGCAAGCAATGAAGCAAGCGTGCGCGCAAACGCGCAAGCAACGAAGCACCCAGGACCGGCACCAGGGACCGCCATATGGCGGTCCCTCGTGCTTCGTTGCTTCGCATGTGCCTTTCATTCGCATGGCCGTGCCGCAGATGCGGAACGGCCATGCTGATGAAGGGCACATTCGGTCGCGCTGGGGAAGCCCTGCGCACAGATTAGGAGTACAGTAAGAAGCCTTTGGCTAGCACAGTTGGGCAATGTCTGCTCAGCGTATTCCAGAGGCCGCGTCAGCTCCCGCACGGAGCAGCGTTCACATTATGCTGTCGCCGTGGGGCATGAATGTGGGGACATATGAATGGATGGGACTCTACGAGCATCTCGAAAATAGCCGCCGCCTGGCGAGCATCAGGAACGGTCGGTGCGCAGATACATCGCTGCAGACAGATGGACCCGAACGCGCTGGCCATCGAGTGCACAGCAGCCGCTGGAACGATGGTTCCAGGAGCGCCAGGACGCGCAGCAGGAGCACGGAAGGGCTCCGCGTCAGCGTCGCGAGCCTGGCGTGCAGTAGCCACCGTTCGCACAATCGTGCTCGGCTTCGGACTCGCGCTCAGCTTCTGGCGCGCCGTGCCGCGCAGCGCTGCCTCCCTTGGCCGTGGCGGCGGCAAGAGCCCTGGCAAGACGCCCCGCCTCCGCCTCTTCCTCTTCCAGGGTCAGCTGCTGCATCGTGGAGCCCTCTCCTCGTCAGCAAGGCAGCCGCCGCCTTCCATGTCGGGTTGCCCCCACTCGAAGAACAACTGACGGCATGAAACATGGTTTTTAGAGTCCCGCGGGGATCTCTTGCATCGACGCTGGAACCCCTTCCCTCCATCATGGGCAAAAGCGGGCTGAGCATTATGCTGTTCCAACCTACTCTAGCCGTGATCACGAGAAAGAACTTTTCGAGCCCCCCTCCCCCCAAACATACCGAAACTCCACGGTCTTCGCGTGCTGGGCCCGGGGAGACGCTCGTCCGATGCTGTTTCGACACTGCCTCGGCACTTTTCTGGGCGCGACCCCTCTGCACTGCCTCGGCGCTGTTTTTCGACACTTTCCCGGTCCTCTTTCTTCTCCCTGCCTGGTTCTCGTTCTCCTCTGCCTCCCGCGGACCCCTCTGCACTGTGTCGGCGCTGTTTCGACACCTCCCCGGGCGCTCGACAGTATTTCTAGGCTGTGGTCCTTCAGTGCGACGGGAGCAGCACAAACCGAGCAGTCTCGCAGGCCTAGAGGTTGACACCAACACCAATATCGGCGGTGTGCCTCCACCGATGGAAAAAGGTCCCGATCTGGGTGATGGTGGTAATATTCTGGCCTCCAAGGTGACCGAAATATTACCACCAACACCGAAATCGAGGATCATATTCCCCTTGTGGAGGCAACCCCCTGTTCTGGTGTTGGTGCCCACTTCCAGGCCTCCAACCGTCGGCGCCCTGCCCCCGTCCTGGCCGCCCGCCGCCGCTCCCCCCGCCCGCCCCCGTGCGCGGCCGCCTGCGCGGCCGCCCGCGATCTCTCGGCGCTTCGCCGCCGCCACGGCCGCCCGCCTCGCCGTGCGCGCGCCCGCGGCCTGGCTCGTCGTCGTCGTCGTCGTCGTCGTCGTCGTCGTCGTCGTCCTCGTCGTCTTTCCCCCGTCGTCGCCGCCTTCTTCTCGGTCGTGGCGTGGCTCTCGGCGCCGGTCTCGCTGCCAGCGCGCAGCTCCGTGCCCTGCCCCTGGCCAGGACAGGGCAAGACCCCCTCGGTCACAGTTGGCGGCGGGCGGGCCCGTGGGCCAGGGCGCGGCGACCCGCCCCTGTGGCCCTCCGTGCAAGCCTGTGGTCGGGGAGGTCCGCCAGGGTCTCGAAGCGCGGGTCGGACATCCTCCGACGTCGCCTTTCGCCCGAGGCCCATGGCTTTTCCTGCGCCGCTCGGCGTGGCCTCGACGCCATCCAGGGCCTCATCGGACCCGCGCTGCACTGCCGCTGTCCGTAATCGCCAACAGCCGCCGAGGCTGTCGCGACGACGGCCTTTCGCAGGACATGCTCCTGCGAAGCACGACGACATGGCACTGCAAGGATATTCTCCAGCACTGTCGGGAGGGAGTCCCGTTTCGCCTCGTGAGCATCAGAGCCAGAGATGGCAAGAGGGCAGGACAGCCTGAATATAGAGGAGAGCTGTGCAGAGGGTCTCGACAGCGGAGCGATAAAGCCCAAACGGCTACGGATGAGGGCAGCAACAAGGCTGATGAGAGGGTGCAACAGGAGCGTAAAGACACGACATGGTAGGATGCTACGGTATGGTTTTGCTTCTGATGATACTGGGCGATGCTGCTGCTGCTGATGATGCTGATTGATGGTGATGCCGCTGATGATGATGCTGATGAAGATGGTGATGCTGGTGACGGTGATGATGGCGCAGCTGCTGATGCTGATGATGGTGCTGATGATGATGCTGATGCCGATGGTGCTGTTGATGACGATAATGATTATGATGATGCTGATGACGACGGCGATGGTGATGATGGTGGTAATGATGATGACGACGAGGAAAAGGATTATGACCATGATGATACTGAGCATAATGATGGTGATGAGGGTGCTGCTGCTGATGATGCTGATGATGTTGATACGGATGATAATGACGATGTTGATGATGCCGATGCTTGTGGTAGTGATGATGGTGATGATGATGCTGATGATGATACTGATGATGATGATGATGATGCTGATGATGACGATGATGATGATGATGATGATGATGATGATGATGATGATGATGTGGACGATGATGATGATGTGGACGATGATGATGATGACGACGACATCTATTTTGATGGTAATGCTGGCGATTGTGGTGTTGCTGATGCTGCTTCTGCTGATGATGATGGTGGTGATGGTGACTGTGATGGTGATGATGGTGGTGATGATGATTATGATTATGATGATGATGATGATGATGATGATGATGATGATGATGATGATGATGTGGACGATGATGAGGATGATAATGATGATGATGATGATGATGCTGGTAATGGTGGCGGTCGTGTTGAGTGTGATGATGATGATGACGATGATGATGATGATGATGATGATGATGATGACGACGCTGATGATGATGATGACGATGATGATGACGGTGGTGGTGGTGGTGATGATGATAATGATGGTGATTCTGATTGTGATTGTGATGGTGCTGGTGATGGTGATGATGATGCTGCTGATGCAGATGATGATGATGATGATGATGATGATGATGATGATGATGATGATGATGATGATGATGATGATGATGACGAGGAGGAGGAGGAGGATGAGAAGGGGGAGGAGGAAGAGGAGGAGGAAAGGAGTTGGGATCTGGATATCTTTAGTACCGTGGGATGGGCATTCTCGGGGTACAGTTAGGTGAATAATTTGGTAATGAAAATTCTGACCAGGTGGGGCATGGGTTAGTGGTGGTGGATGTCCCGCCAGCCATGCCGTAGGCTGCTGGAAAGCTCGCGCTGAGTGAAATGCACTGCTGGGACCACTTTCGGAACAACTGTTCCTCGTAACACATGGGTGCTGGAACCCACGCCGTGTTCTGCTGGAGTCACCGTCCCTCGTAAAAATTAGGCGCTGGAGCCCATCTGCCCTGAAGGCATGAGGCGCTGGAACCACTATCCCTTGTAAGTATAAAGCGCTGGAAGCACCGTCCCTCGTAAAAAGCGCGCGCTGGTCACGCCTCGTTCCCAATCGGGGGGCCTGTTTGCACGCGCTGGTGCGCGTGCGATGTCTCGCTCGGTCGGTCCGGTCGTCGGTCGGTGGATCGGTCCGGACGTCGGTCGGTCGGTCGGCCGGTCGGTCGGGTAGTCCTCATTCGTCGTCGTCTCGGTCGTTCGGTCGGTCGGTCCCGTCGTGGGTCGTCGGTGTGTCGGTCGGTCCGTCCGTCCGTCGTCGTCGTCGTCGTCGTCGTCGTCGTCGTTGTCGTCGTCGTCGTCGTCGTCGTCGTCGTCGTCGTCCGTCGTCTTTCGGTCGGTCGGTCGGTCGGTCCGTCAGGTCGTCGGTCGGTCGGTCGGTCGGTCGGTCGTCGTTCGTCGTCGAGCCCGGCCTCGTCCGCCAAGCGCCGGAGAGTCCCGGCGGCAGCGCGTCTGCGCTGCGTCGCAGTCGCCGGGCCCGACACCACATGGGCCAGGGGGAGGAGGAGGAGGAGGAGGAGGAGGAGGAGGAGGAGGAGGAGGAGGAGGAGGAGGAGGGGAGGAGGAGGAGGAGGAGGAGGAGAGGAGAGAGGAGGAGGAGGAGGAGGAGGAGGAGGAGGAGGAGGAGGAGGAGGAGGGGGAGGAGGAGGAGGAGTCGACACCGTCCTCTCGGTGCCCGGCACTTCCTCCCGAGCGGGTCCTCTGCGCTGCTCTCTCAAATCGCGCCTCGTGGGCCAAACAGGCTACGGATGCAATGACGATGAAGACATGACACATGCGCCCCTGACGCCTCCGATGCGTTCACATGCGCTTTTAACACTTCACCACCGACAGTACTCACCTGACTGTAGTGTGTGGGCGTCGACGTGGATAAGCGTACGCTGGGGACTAATTTGCGCGCAGATTGGCAACTGATGGGCATTTCTGGGGGGACTGGCTGGACATCTAGATGTGCGTCCTATTGGCAAATTTTCTGCGTGGAATGGGCCTTTGAGAGAAGCTAAAATGCATCTGGGTGGGAACATGATTGGCATTTTATCTGTACGAGAGATGGACATCCAGATAGCCACTGATAGGTTTCGGAGCTGGGCCTGTTTAGTTTCCGCGACGCGACTCGGGCATCTCTGGGAGAAGTGTGGGCGCCAGGGATGGGCGCCGAGATGGACATCAAATGGGCACATCGGGATGCAGGATCTGCCCATCAAAATGGACATCTGAGGCGTTGGGCGACGGAGATGTCCGTCTGGATTGGCATCGCCGTCCCCAGACCCCCGACGTCATGAGTTTTTGATGACGTCGACCCCCAGAGGTCTCGACTCATTCCCCGGACTGGCCTCTCATCCTAACTCGTTTTTGGACGGCACCGAGGCCCGTTAAGGGCCCCAAGGGCCGAATATGGCGAAAAAACCTCCATCGTGATTTTTTCATGACCCGAGTGGGGAACGGACAGCACACACACCCATACCCGTAGGAAGGGTCGTTGGGAGGAGGACTGGCCAGGGGCATGGGTGCGGGTTGTCGGACCCCCCGGAGGCGCTCTCGGTCGAGCGGGTGGGCAGCTGCCTTCGTGCTTCAATTCGCCTCGGGTGCACCCCACCGCTTGCTGATTGGCGTCTGACTGTCTTGGACCATTTGGCGCCCGCGGCCTTTCAAGTGTGTGTGTGTGTGTGTGTGTGGCCTGTCTCTCCTTCTCCTCTCTTCCTCTGCCTCTATGTTGGCAGGTATTGGCACGGGCCCTGCCAAGAGCCGTTCCTCATCAGCTTCTCTATCCTACGGATACAGGGTGGGTGGGCTAGATCGTGGACCCCCCCCTCGACCACATGTACAGCCCACCGCCCAGCTTCTACTCAAGAAGCTCCACGAGCTTCTGGGCCCCACTGGGGCGCTCGTCGGTGGTGTCATAGCCATCTTGAGGAGGTACCTGGGGAAATTTGGAGAGGAGTCGTTGTCGGTGCCGCCGCGGACGTTGCCCATTTGATGTGAACGTCGCCTGCCCATCAGCGGCCGCTGTCAGTTTTGGACACGGATCGCTGTTGGCCATCGTCCCCTCTTTCCGTGTTCATTCCAGCGTCCAAAGGTCTAAATCGTGCTGGTCGCTGCGCGCGCCGCCAGGCAGCGCTTCCTACGTAGGCCCTGTTGCAGAAGGATGGGTGCTGCACCGGATGTCACCGCCCCCCTGCCAGGAAGCTGGATGCACATCAAGCGGCCGGCTTGGGCGAGAGCTGGATTTACATGTGGCATCATGTTTTTCCATCACTCGGCCCTTCAATGGCTCGGCACGCTGGGCTTCTGCATGAGTATCCAGTGCATGTGAATCCAGCCGCGTGTGCTTCAGCTTCCTGGTAGACAGGACAGCGCCGTCGTCCTCAGTTTTTCCCAGAACTCTGCGCACAGTTTGGGCAGGCGGGCTCTGTCCAGAGCCTTTATTTGGAGTGTTGCAGGATGTCCCTCGGACCCCGCATTTTTCATTCGTCACGCTTCGCGTCCGTGATTGTGCCAAATCAAATATGTACCTCCCGCGCTCAGGTGTTCAAGTCTCTCGAGACATGCATGGGTCTTGGCACTGGATCGGCGTTCTGGGCAGTCTTCGTTAACATATTCGAGGATAGCCCATTCAGCTGGCCCCTCCGAACTCTCTACACGGTCTTCATTACTGTGGTCATCGTGGCAACACAGATCGTGATGAGAAAGTGGCTGGCGAGGAAGCCCAACCTGAACACGTGCGTGGCAGGCACCGTCAAATTCATTGACAAAGCTTACGACTTCGTGATGGCGTGGGCATGGCAGGCATGGCTGATCGAAACTTTCAAACCTAGCATCGACTTGGTGCTGGGCAGCCAAGATGACGAATGCGACGACTTGTACAAGACCCACTTCTTCTTCCGAGCTTGTATGATAACGTTCCTCTGCATCGCAGTAAACGCAATTCTGGATGTCTTCAGGGTGACCCTCAGCGTAACTCCCGAGATCCGGCAGACGGCTCTCATGGTAACAGGAGTCAATGCTGGATGGGCCTGGATGTTCTTCGCCAAATCGTGGTTCGGCTGCGGCAGCACGGCCCAATTCAACGTGTTGACTGTTTGGGGCTGGACGGTGGCTATCATAGTCGGCACTCTGGCCCTCGCGTTCCTGTTGGACTACGGGAACCATAAGGTGGACAATTACGTGCTGGAGCTCAGGAGGCAGGCGGGGACGCTCGACGAGAAGGATACTGACTCCTACTGGAGGCAGTACGACAGCAGCGAGGGAAGCGACTCGGGCGACGAGGACGCCGACAGCGATGATGACTCCGAGGACCACGAAAAGCCGACGCGCTGAGCCCTTGATGCCCAGGCCCTTGGGCCAGCGATCCTCGAGAGCCAGATACCCTTGCCAGATGTTATCCAGGACATTCTTTTGTGCTGGTGCCCCATGTGCTTGGTGTACGCTGGCAGCTCGCGCCGGCAACGCCATCGGAGTGGCCTGGCCAGCCGTCATCATGCTGCTCACCACGGGAGGCTGCGCTGTTTGGGTTACGTGCCCCTGTGCGATGCTTTTTGTAGATCGATTGTCCGTCCATCTCCCGTCCTTTCTGTTTCTTTTGTCCCCATCTTCCCGACTCGTGACGGATTCTTGCGATATCTGGGGGCCGCCTATGCTACCTACCTGTTGGTCGCTGACGCAAGCACGAGTTTTGCTATTCTTGATGTCTTGCACTTTCAGGCCTCCTCTTGGGTGCCCTCCCCTTCTTTTCCTTCTGTTGTTCTGAGCAGTTTTTAGGCCCCGACCCTCTTTTTGAATGGGTGCTCGCTTTGAACCGAGCCCTGCTGGTCTCCGTCTCCGATCTTCTGAGGCCTTCCCTCTCCCCTTCCCCTCCTGCCTCCTGCCTCCTGCCTGCCTCCTACCCTGTCTCCTGAGGTGTCCGCCGCTTCCTCCCTCCTCTTCTCTGCCGAATTCAAGCTTCGCGCGGCCCGCTTAGCTTCGACCGGAAGAGGTGCGCTCTCGACCCGCGGATCAAAGCTGTCTCCTAAGGTGCTGCCAACGGCTGCCAATTGCGCAGCACTCGCCACTTTCGTGAGCTCCAGGCAGGTCCAGCGGAGTGACGTTCCGCCCAGACCCGAGCTGGACCTCGCCCTCTCTGGGTGCTGTCACTTGCGGAAGTGTCGCTGCTGTCGTGAGCTCATGGGGGGTCCAGCGGAGTGACGTCTTACCCAGACCCAAGTGAGACCTCGTCTTACGGGGCGCTGCCACTGTTGCAGTTGTCGCGACTTCCGTGGCTTCCAGAAACAACACAGCGGGGTGGCGTCTTACCCAGAGCCAGTCAGGACCTCGTCGTCCTTGGGTGCTGCCACGAAACTGCCGCCGTTTTCAGGAGCTCGTGCTGGGTCCAGCGGGGTGACGGTTTAGTTACCCCAGCCGAAAGAGATCTCGCCTTCCTGGGTGCGGTCAATTGTGCGATTGTCGCCGCTGTTGTGATCTCTTGGGGGATTGAGCGGAGTGACGTCTTAACCAGACCAAATGATACCTCGCTTCACTGTGCGCTGCAAGTGTGCACGTATCGCCACTTTCATGGACTCCAGTCCAGATGACGTCTCACCTGGACCCACAGGGGAATTCGCCGTCGAAGGGCTTTCCAAGTATGGAGCTGTCGCCGCTTCCGGGAGCTCTTGGGAGGTCCAGCGGGGTTCATTCTTACCCAGACCCAAACGGGACGAAGCTTCTGTGGGTGCAGCCAACTGCGCAATTTTTGCCGCTGTCGTTCGCTTCTTGGGGATTCACCGGTTTGACGTCTCCCCCAGATCCAGACGGGTCCTCGCCTCCCTCAGTGGTGCCATCTGCACATTTGTCGGCTTTTTCGTGCGTTCCCTAGGAGGTCACCAGATGGACGTCTTAACCATGACCAAGCGGGTTCCTTGCCGTCGCCAGGTTCTGCCAGTTGGGTAACTGTCGCCGCCGATTCAGCTCCTGGGAGGTCCACTGGAGAGACGTTTTATTCATGACCCAAGTGAGACTTCGCCTCGATGGACGTTGCCAACTGCGTAACTTTCGTGGGCTCCTGAAGAAATTCGGCGGAGCGATGTCGTACCCAGACCCAGCCAGTTCCTGGCTGTCCTTGCGTGTTGCAAATTGCGATCTGGTCGCCGCTTTCGTGAGCTCCTGCTGGGAGGTCCAGTGGAGTGGCGTCATTTGCAGACCTAAGGGGATCACGCCCGCCGTGGGTGGTGATGGTCACACTTGCGGCCGTCAGGGCTGGATCGAGCCCGTGGGGGTCATCGCTAACGCGGGCTAGCAGGATGCTGGCGACATCGACAGCCCCTACGTGCACGTCGTGTCATCCCAGGTGGCGACCTCGAAGAACGTGTTTGTGATCGGAGAAATTGGTTTGGGCGTTCTCGCCTGGGGGCCGCCAGCAGACTAGGCGGGGCGGTGTAGAGAAGAGACCAAGGAATTGGACATCGTTTTCAACGCGGGGACAGGTCTGCAAAATCGGAGTGCCATAAAGCACTTCGTCATCCTTCTATTCCCTTCCTGATCTCCCTTCCTGCCGTCCTGTGCCCCCTGTCCTCGTCATCGTTTTCGTTTTTTCCTGAGATGTGCTCTTCATACCCTTCGTTATCTCGGTTGTCGTCGTACTTCGGTACTTCCCCCCATCTGGTCCCTTTACTCGGGTATTGCCGCATATCGGCTTCCAGGTTGTGCAACACATGGACCCCCTGAACGTGGCTCACACAAAATAGAGATTGCGTTTTCTGTCGTATCATCATTCGTGGAGGAGGGGCCTGTTGATGCGCCCCATTGCTGCTGATGTCTTGGGTACGTGTCTGTGTAAGTAATTGTTTAATGCGTGGCGCTTGCTCGGGCTGTGGTGGGTTCGCCCTCGCCGAGTTGTAGTTGTTATGATACTGCGCGGCGAAAAATCCAATCTCACCATCGCCATCGCCGTCGTCGCCGTTTGCTCCCCACATCTTAGGGGGGTGTCGGGATTTCTCTGCATCCCTCCCGCAGGAACACCTCACCCCCTGTGGCCTCCGTTCATCCTTTCACACTCGCCATCACCAGCACTCACCATCACCTCCCTCCTCTTCTGTTCCTTTCACACTCATCCTCACCATCACACCACCAGCACCATGAATATCATCATCCCACCATGTTCATCGAACGCCATCCTTTTCACCACACTCTGTTGTCACAGTCGTCACCGCCACTCCAGTACCATCATCGCACACGCTCACCCTCACACACACACACACACTCGCTTGCACTCATCTGGAGGAAGTGACCATCATCATCGTGCACATTCCCACACGCACCTGCGTGCACACCGCTCGCCTCGAGAAGGTGTCGAGCAGGAGCCCGGTGTGTGCGAGAGTGCATCGCGCGGGAGGTCGCGAGCGCGAGCCCCTCCCCAGGGGGTCCCCGCCCCTGGAGGCAGTCTCGAGCGGGGGCCCCCTCTGTGTGGGCATCGCGAGGAGGTCTCGAGCGGGGGCCCCTCCCTATGGGGTCCCCGCCTCGATGTTCGAATCAGAGCAGGGCCATCCACACATTTTAGTAGTCGTCACTTTAGGGCTCCTCAGGCTCGACTCTTGGTGAGTTTTCGAGCGAGGTTTTGTCTGTGAGTGCATCGCGAGGACGTCTCAGGCGGGAGTCCCTCCCTATGACGTCCCAACTTCCATGTTCGAGCCCGTCCGTGTCATCCCAATTTGTATCTGTCGTCAAGTTTGGGCTCCTCAGGCCTGAATCTGGAGGACATCCAGAGCGGGAGCGTTGTTCGTCAGTGAATCTCGGTGAGGTCTCGAGCGGGAGCCCTTCCCTGTGGGGTTCCCGCCTCCATGTTCGAATGCGAGCGGGGTCATTCTAATCTTTGAACTGTCGTCACTTTCGGGTTACTCCGAGCGGGAGCCTCGTTCGCGCGTGACTGAATTGCGAGGAGGTCTCGAGCGGGAGCCCTTCCCTTTGGGGTCCCCACTTCCATGTTCGAATCCGAGCGGGGCCATCCAAATCTTTTAACAGTCGTTACTTTTGGGCTCCTCAGGTTTGAATCTGGAGGAAGTCTGGAGCGGGAGCCTCGTTCATGAGTGAATTGCACGGATGTCTCAGCCGGGAGCCCCTTCTGATGGGCCCACCTCCATGTTCAACCAAGTTTTTTAGCTGTCGTCACGTTTGGGCTCCTCAGGCTTGACTCTGGAGGAAGTCTCGAGCGGGAGCCTAGTGAATCGCGATGTAGTCTGGAGCGGGACCCCCTCCCTATGGGGTCCCCACTTCCATGTTCGAATCCGGCCGGGGTCATCCAAATCCTTGGATTGTGGTCACTTTTGGGCTCCTCAGGCCTGGCTCTGGGGGAAGTCCAGAACGGGAGCGTTGTTTGCGAGTGAATCGCGATGAAGTCTCGAGCGGGAGCCTCTCCCTTTGGGGTTTCTGCCTCCATGTCTGAATCCGAGCGGGGTCATCCAAGTCTTTTAACTGTCGTCAGTTTTGGGCTCCTCGGACTTGAATCTGGAGGAAGTCTCGAGCGGGAGTCTTGTGGTGAGGGAATCGCGAGTAGGTCTCCAGCGGGAGCGCTCTCCTTATGGGGTTCGGGCTTCCATTTTCGAATCCTCTCCAAGGGGGCAAATCGGGGGGAAGTCTCGAGCGGGAGCCTCGTCTGAGAGTGAATCGCCTGGGGCACACAGATTACACAGGTCTCACAAGTCCAACACGGCGAACAAGACTCACATGGCCCACGGTTCCCACAGGTCGCACAGGTTCAACAGGTCCCACGCGACCCACTGGTCCCAAAGGCCCCACAGGTTTCACAAGTCGCACAGGTCCCACAGGGCCCACAGGTTTCACAAGTCTCAAAGGCCCCACTGGTCCCACAGGTCGCACAGGTCCTATAGGTCCCGCAGGTGCCACATGCTCCACAGGTTCCACAGACCCTACAGGTCCTACAGGCCCCGCAGGTCCCACGGGTCCTACACGTACTACAAGGTTCGCAAGTCCAACAGGTCCCACAGGTCCAAGAAACCCTACAGGCTGTACAGGTTTCACTGGCCCCACATGTCTCACAGGTCCCACAGGCCCCACAGGTCCCACACGTTCCAGGGGTCCCACTGGTCCCACATGCACCACAGGGCCCCTATATGCCCGAGGTCCCAAAGGTCTTACAGGTCCGACAGGCCGCACAGTTCGCACAGGCCCTGCGCGCAGGCCCTACAGGTCCCACAAGCCCTCCAGGTCTCAAAAGATCCCCGGGCCCCACAGGTCTTAACGGCCTCAGAGCTCGCATCCTTGTATCCTGGCATCATTGCAGCATTACCACCGTTAACGGTCGATGATGATGACTCTCATGAGCATTGAGG